CGAGGCACCCGCAGTGTTCAAGGGAGGAGAAAAGCGTGGGCTTACAGGGGAGACGGGGGCAGGGATTTCAGTGATGGTTTGAGCTCATTAGATAGGAGAGAATTGGTCTCCCGGTGCTCGACGGTGCTCCCGGCCGTCGGTCCGCCTTCCCCTACGGGGCGGCGAGGGGCAGAGGAAGGAAACTGAGGTCCTGAACAGATGTGATGGAGGGACAATCACAGCGATGACGCTCGTGCACCTGAGGTTTGCTAGGTGGCTCCGTTTAATGGGCACCACAGCCCTCGCCGGGAGCCACTATACAGCCCCAGCGAACAGCTAAGGAAACGGAGGCTCCGAGAGCTTGGGATCCCCCCCAAGCCGCACCTACAAGGAAGTGGGTGGGCAGAGCTGATTGGGAAAGAAGCCCGAAACAGTTTCTCGACATCCCATGGGTCAACTTGCTAATGACAGACGCCACCTAGCTCTTGGTGACTTTGAGCCTCACGGTAGGCCAATCTCCCAGCAAAAGCACCACGCCTGAAGAAGCGTGTGCGAAACACCCCCTGCCCGCCCGGCACGAAACGGCCTTCTGGGGGTGCTGCTGCACTCCATCGTAAATTCCAGTATATTTTGGAAGGGAGCCCCGAGGCCAGCAGCAGGAACGGGGCTTCAGTTCTGGGCCTGGCAAGCCTGGAGTCCTTGCACAGGCAGCCCTAGGCTTGAGCTGAGCCCCTTCTCTCTGACGGAGCAGGAGAAACCTTCCCTCCCCGGGGCCACCACTGCTGCTTGGTGCTCGCTCGGGAACCACCGTGCAAAAAAGCGAAATTGAAACAACCAACAACAACCGAAAAACCAACCGCTCCTCCCAGCTCTGGCGCTCGAGAGAACATTCGACCCGTCCGGCCCCTGTCTCACCTGGCCACACGCCGGCAAAGTGGGCCCAGAAGGGCATGGGGAGTTCTCTCTCTCTTGCAGACTCTTCTGAGGGTCGCTGTCACTTTTAAAGTATTTTCTGGGCGGAGGCTTGGGCTTGGAGGTCGTGGGTTTTCTCACCAAAATCTCGAAGGATTTCTTCAGTCTCAGCGGTGGGTGGCTGTGCGGGAACCCAGGGCGGGGCGGGCTCTCCCGGGGCGGCCGGGACGGAGCCACGGGAAGCGTCCCCGGCTCCTGCACTGGGGACAGGCTCGGGCTGGGCGTGTGGACTTCCGGGTCGGAAGGCTGCTGCTCGCTGCCGCTGACGGGGCTTCCCCCGGGGGACCCGGACACGTAGCTGCTGTCGCTGCTGGAACGGATCATGACCTTCTGAGCCCTGCGGTTAGGGGCTGCTGAGTTCCTCTCTCTCTCCTTCTCCAAGGTCGGCCGCCCATGCCAGCTGCCCTCCAGCCTCGGGACACCTGCAGGGGAAGCACGAGGAACCCCCACAGCTGGGCTCGGGAGGCAAACGCACCCTTGGCCGCGCTCCCGACCGCCCCCGGCTGCACGCTGCACCCCGGGCTGTCTGCTTCCCACCTGAGGTCACTGGGGATTTGGAGCCCGGCCATCTCGGGTTTGTCCCAGAAAAGCTGTATGACTCCAGCTTGGGAAAATCACTCAACCTGAGTCTCCGTGTGATGGGCACGGAGGCGTGTCCCCAACTTGCCCGTCAAAGAAGGGCTTGCTGTCCCACCTGTGGAAGGGCTGGTGGCAGATGCCTGCCACTGTCCGCCCCTCTAGGGACTGCCTACAGGAGCTGTCTCCCCAAGGCGACCTCGCGTCCGATGACCGACGGAGATGGGCTGTAAAGGGGGGGTGGGCGGGAGCACCTGCCACCAAACCAGACAATTCTAACGTGTCTTTTGGCTCCACAGTTCCAGGGCTGAAGCTGGCATCTCAGCTCACCTCCTCCCTCTGCCCAGCCCTCTTCTCTCCTCCCCTCCCCTCCACGGGCTCCGACCCCTTGGACCCCTCCGAGATAGCACCCTGCATGCCAAGCTGGCCTCCTGGGAAACCCAACCAGCAAAAGTCCATCTTTTCACCTGTAAAATGGGGAGAATAGTTATAGGGTCACCGAGCTTGTTTGGGGGGCTCAGCATCGAAGAGAGAGAGGACACCGGCCAGTGTGTGTTGAGCCTTGTAGCAAGAAGCTACCATTTCCTCCGGCTGAGGACGAATCGACAGCTTCAGGACCACACTTTCTTAGCCATAGTACGCTTTCTCTTCCCTCCCATCCAGCCTTTCTTCCTGGGTCATCCCCGCACACACACCCATTCTCAGCACCGTGTCCGTCCACACAATCCTGAGAGGCCCTTTTCTGTAGCGGCAAACCGCCCCCCGTGTGTTTCTTTTCTACAATCAAGAGCTCAAAGGAGTGGGAGCAGACTGAGACCCAGCCTCTTGCTCAGATTCCAGCTCATTCCGGAAGGCCAGGAGAGAGAGGAGAGCCCCGTGGAAGAGAATCCTAGACCTTAGGAGAAAACCAAAGTCAGCCAAGCTCACGGTTTGAGTCCTCGATGAAGAACAAGATTTCTTTTGCTTTTTCCTGGTCATAAAATAATGCAGCCTCATTAGAAGGAACTCGGCCCCAAAAAGAAAGAAATGAATGTGAAGATCCACCTGCTGTCCGATCCGCTGGAGAGAACCACCGTCCAAATATGTGTGAGTTTCTCAGTGATATTTTCCCGAGCATAAATGTTGAGTGGGTGGAGAGGGTAGAACCTTTTCTCTGAACGCTTTCAGCCTGTGTGGCCTCCTTGTCAATATTTGCATGTTGTTCTATCACACACTCCACGATGGCTTGGCCGATGCCCCTCAGCCCAGCACAGAGGCTGCTAGCACCCAGGGACTGAAGTCAGTCGACCTGGTTCCCGTCCAGATGCTCTGGGCACCACACAATGTGATTTTGGGTAAGAGAGCCTCTCAGCGGCCCGCTTTTTCCTTAGAAACGTGCATAAAAACTATATGTAAAGATCCAGTAAAATAATGCATGAATTAGTTCCAGTGTCTGACATGACAAGGCCTGAAGAAAGGTTAGATATTATATTATTAGATATTTTTTCTAAAGAGTCTATTATTATGAACTTGTGATTGAAAACTCAACTGTGTATAGGGGCAACTGCCAATGACAACCTGATATAAGATGACAGGGGATGGTGGGAACAACAGAGGCCAGAGGAGTGCCGGCCCAGTGAAGAAACATACAAATTCAGATGCTTCGAACATCATGTGCCTCCCCAACAGAGCAAACACGTGAGCCGAGCTCAGCCGGTAGGCTGCTAGCTTTCAGCCTTTGTCCACGTTGCGGGCTCATCGGTGATATGACAGTCACATCGCTGAGGTAGAAGGTAAGTCAATGGCTCAACCCTGAGCTGTCTAAGAAGGCAAAGATGTTCAAGTCAAAGTTCACTGTTTCTCTTACCTTCCAGGCTCCACTGATGCCTCTCCTTTCCAAACTTGACATTCTCCACAGCCTGGGCCACAGCTTCTTTGAGTTGCATTTCAGACACCTAGAAAATACCGGTCACCTCCTCAAGTAAACGGCAGCAACATCTGCATCAGGCTCTGAGTCCTCTAGCAGCTCCCAAGCGTGGCCCCTGGATGCCAGGATCTGTCCTTCCAACCCACTCTGCAAATAGCTGACAGCGTCCACTTCTAGAAACGCCCTATTGATTCCAGGGCATCAGTGGTTCTCTAGTATATTGTCAGTGAAGTCCAAAGTCTGTCAATAAAGGGGTTCCTGAGGTGGCCACTCTCGACTCTCCAACCTTCTCTCCACGGCTTGCTGAAAACCTCCAGGCAAAGTTACCACTTGACAGTTTACCTTTTGGAGCATTCCACTCTCGGCAGTGCTGCCATGACATCATCATCACTATCTTGATCACCATCATCGCCATCATCACCATCACCACCACCATCATCATCACCTTCATCATCATCACCATCACCACCACCATCATCATCATCTTCACCATCATCATCTTCATCACCATCACCATCATCACCATCATCATCATCTTCACCAACATCATCACCAACATCATCACCCATCATCATCATCATCACCACCACCATCACCACCACCATCATCATCATCTTCATCACCACCATCATCATCATCACCACCATCATCATCACCACCATCATCACCCATCATCATCATCATCTTCACCATCATCATCATCATCTTCACCATCATCATCACCAATATCATCTTCATCATCACCATCACCATCATCACCATCATCATCACCATCACCATCATCTTCATCACCACCATCATCACCATCACCATCATCTTCATCATCACCATCATCATCACCACCATCATCACCAACATCATCTTCATCATCACCATCACCACCATCATCATCATCATCACCACCACCATCATCACCATCATCATCACCACCACCATCATCATCACCATCATCTTCATCACCATCATTATCACCATCATCATCTTCATCACCATGATCATCATCACCATCACCACCACCATCATCATCACCACCATCATCACTATCATCTTCATCACCATCATCATCATCATCATCTTCATCACCATCATCATCACCACCATCATCACCCATCATCATCATCACCACCGCCACCATCATCACCACCACCATCATCATCATCATCTTCATCACCACCATCATCATCATCATCACCACCATCATCATCACCATCATCATCACCATCATCATCACCATCTTCATCATCACCACCATCATGATCATCATTATCACCATTACCATCATCATCACCAATATCATCTTCATCATCACCATCACCATCATCACCATCATCATCATCACCACCACCATCACCATCATCATCACCATCACAATCATCACCATCATCATCTTCATCACCATCATCATCACCACCATCATCATCATCATCATCTTCATCACCATCATCACCACCACCATCATCACCATCATCATCACCACCA